ATTTGATAAGATGGGATGCTTTAATAGCTCCGCATCAATACTGAATAAATACATCAGAGTTCAGTTCACTTTCTCACTCTTCCCGTAGGGCCCTTTCTTTAAAATAAAATAAACTCTTCAGTCTACTTTTTTTATCCTCCTTTTTAAAGTGTGCTTAAATCTACAATAAAACCATGAATGTGCTTTCACATAAATCCAGCACCATCAATAGATCCGCAGCCCAGGGGTCCTCGTCGGAAGAAGCCGGTCTTACTTCCCTGTGAGAAAGAAAAAAGAAATTAATTTTAAAAAGAAATGTAACAAGTCTGCTCTGTTGCCTCATCATGTGGAAATGCAATGTGAGAAAAGGGATTAAACCTCCAACGCAAAAGAGAAGAGGAAAAATGACAGTGACTGCAGCTCAGTGGAAAACTGTAGAGAGAAGGCGGGGAAGGCAGAGGGAAAGACACAATGAGACGAAGAGAGACAGAGTGGAAAAGTTACGGACAGACAGAGAGATGGCACTACTGAGCTGCAGTCACCCCAGGGCGTCTCCCCACCAAAATGATCTGACACGGCCTGCTTTCCCTTCTCTGCTACGAGGCCTGAAACAGCCATAATATGCCCCATAAATCACATATGTCATATTTCAGTGTTTTTCAACCCTTTACTTTTTCATTTTTGTCCTAGAAGTGAAAGTTTGCACAATTCTCTTTGCACTGATTCATCACCCAGGTTCTCATGCAACACACCAATGCTAGAAATACTCTGGCACATGTTGCATTATATTTTAATTTGTACTAGAATGAGAAAAAACGTATAATATTGGGAAGATTTGAGGCTTCACAGTCATCTGGAAACTGCTTCTTAGACTTTAAATGAATATTTAAATATGTGGGAATAAGGCATATTTGCTCTCTTACTGAGACCTAAACAAGTAGTTTGACATCACACTCAGTAATATTAATCTCATCTAACTTTCGCCAAGAAAACAAATATGTGTATGTCCCACAATCCTCATTTTAATGTATATTAGAGGAAGCGTTATGGAGCCTCATCGATTGGATTCAGATCGCTCACCAACTAGCTGCTCTTTAAGAGGCTGCATCTCTTGCCACATTTGAAATTCATCACTAATTATGTACAGACATTTCCCTCCAGTGTCCATCCTCCTCATGAGGTTTTCCCCTTGGCAGATTAAAACAAATGCGGTATCTCACTCCGTGGGGGTTGAGAGCGAAGAGAGCTTCTTGATTAAAGTAGACATCATGAATAATCGTGTAGCTTTCACCGAAAACTCCTCTTGACAAGTGAAGATTTAATTGCTAAACATAACAAAGTTTAGAGTTGCAGTAATGTGTCTGACAGCGGAAATACTGAGTCAAATACTGGCACCAGCTGCGCACTGAAGCAGCACAAATATATATAGAGTGAATGAAATGAATAATTACCTTCTTCTATCAAATCATCAAACCCCATGAGACTGTCTGTGATCTGAGGGCAGAGTGACTTTGGCTCCAATGAAACAATGAGCTTCTCTCTCTCTCCCACTGACACGGTGACTCTGATGCTGATGGCAATGATGTGTGTGTGTGTGTGTGTGTGTGTGTGTGTGTGTGTGTGTGTGTGTGTGTGTGTGTGTGTGTGTGTGTGTGTGTGTGTGTGTGTGTGTGTGTGCTGGGGAGGGGACGACTGATTGTGACGAGGTGAACAGAAAAAGAGAGATTTTTCGGGGTGCAACATTGACAGAGGAATTATGCACATGGTGGGGAGCTGGAGTGAATACTGATGCAGGGAAAAGGAATATATTTTTGTGAACACACACACACACACACACACACACACACACACACACACACACACACACACACACACACACACACACACACACACACACACACACAGACACACAGCAGCTACAGTTTGCACCTGTTCTAAATGAGGAAACTGCATGCAACTACGACAAACGAGGCATGCCTTAAGGAAGCTTGAGGTTTGCCACTATGTCTGTTCCCAGTTATTAAGTGTGGTGTGCATACATTAATGTCTTTCTGCAAGTGTGTTAATATGTGTATGATCCTTACCTGTTTATGAGAGATGGTACATGCAAAGGTTAAAGCAGACATCAAGGGTACGAAAGGAAGATTTGAGGTGTTGAAACATAGGAGTCATGAAATGGAGGAAAAAGGCTGGAATTGTACTTTTATTGAAGCAGAGGGAGACTGCGTGATTTCAGATGGTTATGTGGGTGTTTGTGTGAAAAGAGAGTGGAAAAAAGACAAGGCAACAAAGGTTTTGGCCATCTTGTTAGAAACCCTTTCCCCTCGGTCTCTTGAGTGTCAGATTGGTTTCACTTAAAGCACTTAAAACACCCCACAGGACCATCGCTTGGCTCTGAAATAAATATCAAAATCGCCCTTGGATTGTTTCTAAATTGAATGCAATCTGCCAGAGTTGCGAGCCATCTTTTTAGGTTTTTTGTCCTCCTCACTCTTGATCTCTCCTGCCTCCACTTGATGCCAGCTTTCCTTTGTTTCCATCACAAAGGGGTTTTCAGGAAGTGTTCTAATCCAAAGACAAATAGTAAAAAAGTCTTTGCTGCATAAATCATAGACAATACATCACGCCAATGAAAAGTTAAAAGATTGAGTCAATATTTCAGGGAAAGCTAATAGAAGGACATAAATCACTTAAACAAAGAGGCTGATGGGGGATTTTGTCCTAGAATGCAAACACAGCATCGTGTACAATGAGTTTACATTGCAAAACATCTAATGAACGTTCTGTATTCAAATAGACATATATGTCTGATTGATAAGACCAATCTTTATGTTGAAATTATCAAATTATGTTGTCTAATGTTGCAAAGATTTAAAAATAAATAGTTTAGAAACTCTTATTGTGGCACTAGCATGTTTGGGGCCTTTTAAAATCTTAATTTTGGACACTGCACAAAGACATTAATTGGTTTCTGTTGTCACACTTCCAAGGTTTTGCTGAAATATCCCGGCTGAATTTATGTTTGGGCATTAATCAGTATGAAACGTAGAATAAAAATAAACTTCCAAGCAGAACTTTCAAGTGGTATCTGTTTTAAGTAAACAAGTTGTCAGATTATTTTCCCAGAGGAGTTCTTCACAGAATATGTTTATAGTTGTAATGTTTCATTAGAAATGAATGTGCATGCTGTTGAGTTTGACCCAAAGGAATAAAGTGTTTCAAGATGGAAGAATAGGAATGTGATATTGACTGTTCTTTGAAGGTCAACAGCAAGAACTAAAATAAGAGGCAGGCATTTATGAGAGAAAGATTAGCAATGCATGAATTCAACCCAGTCACTTTCAAACAAAAACGAGTGTATTTGAATTGAACCATTCGTGGAATAAATGAATTCAAAATGTATCATGTACTTTAGAAGTGGGCTGCAACAGAAAGTGATTATAGTTCAACTTTTATCAAATCAGATTGAGCTGTTTGGAAAGTGCATCTTTAAAATAAAGACAATAAGCCAATAAGTCTTACATACAATTGGTACAACAAGAATTGGATTATTGGACATGATGAACTTTCCCTTCAGTGAGAAAATAGTGTTTGGATACGGACTCCTTTCCTAATCAGTATTTACCATGAACACCATGACACTCACACACACACACACACACACACACACACACACACACACACACACACACACACACACACACACACACACACACACACACACACACACTGCCTGCATTAGGAAAGCCGATATGGCGGTAGCTGTCCTCCTTTCCCAGGGAAGCAGTGGGGATGAAAGAGAGCAGAGATGGGTCCCACCCTCTGATCTGCTTTTGCCTTTGACACCAGCAGTCACCGACTCTAACAGCACAGGAGAGCGAGGGGACGGGCTGAAACCTGACTATCTGCCCACCCTGAAGCCGCTCCCTGCTCTCCTCTCTATCTCACATTTTCTCTTTCCCTGCTGCTGGAAGTCAGATGTCTTTCTTTAATTGACCTCTATAAATTTAGGCTGGTTACATGTAGCATATTTTCCGTCCTTCGTAGAACCGTCTTGCATTCCTTTTCAATCGACATGGAGGGTAAGGATGCTCAACTGCGCCTATAGGAACGACATAGGGAACTGAGTTGAGCTGAACAGCAGCTCACTGGTCTCCTGCTGTGCACCTAGCTGGGCAGGACCCCCGCTCATTCTCCCTGACAGCCGGCACATCCACACAGACCCTATAACTGCAGGATACTCTGTGGTCTCAAAGACATTTTTCATACTGCCTCGCAGGTTGGTCATCCAGGACTTGTCAAATAAGATCACCACAGTGTATTTGAGCCTGTGTGGGACCATGGAAAGAGGATCTAAGCTAAGCTGTAATGTGTTGACCTGGGTGACTGGAGAGTGTCTCAAACTGTGAGGACAGACGGCATGAAAGGAATTTGTGTGTGCCAGGCAGAGAGCAGAGATAAACCTCAGCATCTCACAGTCGGTGTGAGAAATGTAGCCTGAGCCTTTACTTCCTTTGATGGCTTATTACTGGGGTTATATGGATGGCCCTAATACGTGCTTTTCAATGCACTTCACAATGTATGCCGGCTATTTTTTGTCCTGTGTACTTAGCGTGTTACACAGAATATGCCAGTCATAGTTGTCCCGAATGCACCGGTGACTGTTTTGCATTCCCTCTCTCCGGAGAACAGGCACACCCATCAGGACTCATTAGTCTTCACAGTGACAGGCCGGCCTTCCACTGAGAGACTCTCCCTGGCGGAGCTTTCTCATCGCCTCAGACAGTGGTCGGGTATTTTTACTAACAGGCTGAGACACCGTGCCATTTGTGCGGGGCATTAACTGCTGGCTTTACAGCAAATTTATGTTCTGACAAAAGAGTAAAGCAAGTCACCCACAATTTCACACGGCTTCTTATGTTCCTCCCCAGGTGAACAGCTGAGCGGATTAAAGGTCATGTGGATAGATGTATTGGCAGGCGTTGTAAAAATGTCTAATGATTTGTCCTTCCTGTCCGCAGACGGATGCAGCGCTGATGTACGACGCGGTGCACGTGGTGGCGGTGGCGGTGCAGCAGTCGCAGCAGATCACGGTCAGCTCTCTGCAGTGTAACCGCCACAAGCCGTGGCGCTTCGGAGGGCGTTTCATCAATCTCATCAAAGAGGTACAAGGCCAACAGAGCTATCAGTGTGCACCCTGTCTTCACCTCTGACCTGTGGAATCTGCTGAACACAACATGTTATATTGATCAGTGCAATCACATGTTTGCAGCATCCTCTCTGAATTACGGTAGCAGCTTCTGAGAACTGAGCTGCACATGTTACATTGTTGTCTGTTCTTTTGTTGTAAATCATGTGAAAACGCAACACATTTGCTGCTTAATTTGAACACTCTCAATAATGTTATTGATAATGTGATCTAAATAACCGCCTTATCCGCAGCAACTCCATCCCTGTATCCCACTTTCTCTCCGCTCATTACTCCACCCGTGTTTGTTTCAAAGCCTCTTTGTGTCTCCTTAACTGTAGTCGGGGTCAGCCATTTGCTTTGTTCTACAAAGCTCTTTCATTCTGTGGATGGTATCATTGCAGGTCATTTTCCGAATGAGCCATTGTATTAGCGGGCGCCTCCCCCCCCCCTGTGTTTCCTATCGCTCGCCATGCCCGTCTGTTCCTCAAATGGCTTTGAAGTGAAACTTCAAGCACAATGAACCACATGCATAATGAACTCTTACCTGTCACTCCTGCTATTATTCTGGATGCTTTAGTATTTCTTGTTATTTTGTAGAGATAGACAGACAGTGAGGGAAGAGCCAGACAAAATTAATAATTGGGACAGACAACGTTTTTTCGATTAGCTGACGATATCTTGAGGTTAATGGAATCAGTGTGCTGAGAATTTAGATTATTTTGCTGTGTGCTTCTGTCTGCAGGCTCACTGGGACGGGTTGACAGGACGTGTTCTCTTCAACAAGACCAATGGACTGAGGACAGATTTCGACCTGGATGTCGTCAGTCTGAAGGAGGAGGGGCTGGAAAAGGTGTGTGACACATTGGTGCAGTGGATGATGTATGACTTTTGAGTTTAAAGAAAGAAAGTGTGTGTCTGGATGCTTTGAAATCTTCTTGCAGACAGTCAGATAAACTTGATGCTGAATTGTTTCACAGATTGGAACATGGGATCCTCCGAGCGGTCTGAATATGACAGAGTCTCACAGAAGCAAGACGTCCAACATCACGGACTCTCTGGCTAACAAGTCCCTGCGTGTTTCCACCATACTGGTACACACAGACAAACAATAACACACACAGTTGTCAAATACACACAGAAAGAAACTACTGCTAAATGTAATTTCCCTGCACAGGAGGAGCCATATGTGATGTTTAAAAAGTCGGACAAGCCTCTGTATGGGAACGACCGTTTTGAAGGCTACTGTATTGACCTGCTGAGGGAGCTCTCTGCCATCCTGGGCTTTCGCTATGAGGTGCGATTAGTGGAAGATGGGAAGTACGGCGCGCTGGATGAAAGCACCGGCCAATGGAACGGCATGGTGCGAGAGCTAATAGACCATGTAAGTCAACTCAACGGGGCTGCGCATTGTAATATGCTGAAAATACCCGGGGGGAAAAGGAAAAAGTAGAAATGACAGTAAACTGCTCCTAGTACTAGACTCCTGGCACTAGGATGGGTTAAAAGCAGAGGCCAAATGTCACTGTGTGCTGTGTGCTCTGCATGTGCGACCATTAAAGAGGGGTTTCATCCGTCCGATTCTATTCTATAAATCTCCGAAAGCAAAGATTTCTAGCCAGCGGTTTCACTAATAACCTCCAATCCAATGCCCAATTGGTGGCTGAGATGTTAATTGCATTGCTTTGAATAATTTGAATGTTGCTACTTCAACCCTAAATGACTGTTTGTTAAAAGTCTTAAGCAGCAGAAAAGGAAAGGCCTAAGGAATCTCAAACAAGAAAAAAGACTGTAAAAACCGCCACTGTTGGAGGGGTTATGTTAAAATATTCCAAGTCAGAAAAAGGCTAATCTTCTGTTTCACTGGAAACACAGATTACTTGCCCCTGATTTATCTAATCCCAAAATGATCTCTTTGGTGACTCATCCTCGACACCACATGAGAAGGATTAGAAACGTTACCTGTCATTTCCAGAAAAAACTCAACCTCCTACCTGCTAATCCCTCTGAACTACTGACCCTAGCAATTTTCCCTCCTCCATCATGACTCTTCCTCCTGTACATATTGAACAGAACAGCGGTTGACAGAAATCAGATCGTAATGCGATTGCTTGTCTTTTATTGTGTGACTCAAACCCCCACCGCTTTTATCACGTTGCAGAAATCAGACCTGGCGGTGGCTCCTCTGGCCATCACCTACGTCCGGGAGAAGGTCATCGACTTCTCCAAGCCCTACATGACGCTGGGGATAAGTATCCTGTACCGCAAACCCAACGGCACCAACCCCGGGGTCTTCTCCTTCCTCAACCCCCTCTCACCTGATATCTGGATGTATATTCTGCTGGCTTGCTTGGGTGTCAGTTGTGTGCTATTTGTCATAGCCAGGTAACATGTCAAGCCCTTCTTTCCCTTCCTTCCTCCACGTACCTCTTCTGTTTCCCTACTTTCGCTTTGACACAGACTCCCTCTGGGCCTAGCAGGGGGGAATATTACACAGAAAATCATTATCATGCTTCGACTGGTGGCGAAGTACAGCCATAAATGTCTCTTTTTTTCTTAGACTACTTCAGTGATGTAGCTATAGTCTACAACACAAGAATATGAAATCAAAATACATTAGTCCAACAGATCTTCCCAGTGTTCTTCCATGATTGCTTATATTTTTCACTTCAACTGTAGCTTTGAAATGATTTATTTTTGTCAGAGTGGGACTTTTAAAGCCTTAAAATACAACTGGAAGTGTAGACTGTTTTACAGAAAGAAGCGCAGCGCCTGCCAGAACAACAAATCTCCGACTTCTACAACCTCCCACGAGCACTTTAACCAACCACCCAGAAAAGTTCACATAACAAACGTTTTAGCGTCATTGTCGTCCATTGATAAAGAAGCTTTAATGAAAAGAATAAAAAAGGTAATAAAAAAGGATTAACGTTATCTCGGATTTCATTACTCCCTGTACTTTTCAGTTAATGAGCTAAACAAGGAAAAACACTGGTGTAGTCATTAAAATCAGCTGACTGCTAACACTGTTTCAGGCATCTTTGCACAAGCATCAGCAGCTGTGAAACCAGCTACCCGTTATATATCTCTTAAGCTGCTGTAAGGAATGTACAATTCTTACAAATATCTTGAAACCCTCTGAAACCCTCAATGCATGACCGAAAAATGTGTGTTAACCCCAGGGCTCCTCTTCCTCTGCTTTCATCCCGAGAGGTTTGGGTTTAATGCACATTTCATCAAATGTTACCGGCACAATGATCACATAAGAGGAAAGCGGCAACTGTCACCTAAGTTTGTTCAGAATATGCAAATTATATCCGTAGCCCTTTGTTTCCACGGTTGGTCAGGGTAAGTGATTAGCATGCAATTACATTAATATGCTTTCAGTTGTAATGAAATGGCCTCGGTACTTTTATTAAATTATAATTCTCTTGTCTGCATGCAAGCATTGGGCACGTTTTTTTGCACACCGTGGCAATAAATACTGCTTGTCCTCACACTTTGTGACCAAAATTATTCAGCAAAGTTCAAATCTGAAGTACAGTGTTTTTCTCCTTCAGTTAGCTGAGCTGGTTCTCTCATAATTGTAGTATTGATTGCATGGCCACCGATTGATTGGTCAATCCCCAAAATGCACGGTATATTATTTTTTCTTTAATTCCCTGCAAATAGAGTGAAGTGAACACCTCAACCTCACCTGGGATTTCACATCTTTGAAATTCTTCCCACACACACACCTTTTTCTGACTAAATAAGCTATCTCATTTCAAGCTCCAGAGTAATACATTTCACTCAGTGGTTTCTTTCAGCTCTGTTTGTGGTTGGATTGATTTCTCTCTTTATTAACAAAGAAATGGTATTCACTCAGATTGAAAAAACATTTTTCCAGTGCAGATCCGCCTGCCAAAAGATTGTATGATTTAAATTCCATTATGAAATGTTTACATGTAATTACAGGATGTCGCAGTTTGGCTGTCCAACTCCCGGAAGCCTATGATTTTCACACCCCCCCTAACACAAGCCTCTTCATTTGGCCTGAAAGAAGAAAGGCAGCCGATCTATAATGCCAGCCAGAGTAATTGAATCCAACAGACAGTTAATGGAAGGAGCGTGTTTTGTTATTGTGGCCGGGGACGGATGAAGGAGAAGAGGGACGGGAGATGGGGAGAATCTTTTTAGAATTCTGCGTGCTATACAACATGTCCCTTGTGCTCGGTGTGAGGAGGTGACCTTACGTCCACATATTCCTCGTCCCCTTCTTCCTGGTGATCGGTGTGCAAAACACGGCCCGCAGGAATACAGGCCGGCTGCAGGCAAAGGTCATACAGAGGAGCCATCCAGAATACACATGTCGAATACACTGATAGGGACAATCCAATCAAGAGGGTCTTATAGATGTACACAGATTTACACCACCTCACCTATGGCACATATGGGACGCTACCCACAAATGGCCTCAGGCTGCAGCTTACCATAATGTGTAACAGAGACATAAATAAATCCTCATGGAAAACATTTTGACTTTGAGATGGAACGATTGAGCAAATGCAAATACGCAGTTGCTACCACGGACAAATGCACACCCACACAGCCATAAAGGCACATGAGCAAACATCCATGTGCCAGAGGCTTGATGCACACAGCCATAAAAGCCTCACACGAACACATGCGAGCGCACACACTGCATCCCGCACAGCTCCACAAGGCCATTGTGCCGTCTGTTGCCTGTGGTTCCAAGGAGACCGGGCTCATTGACATTCCAGCAAATTCCCACATCCTGATGGAGTTGACAGGAAGAATTATAGTGTGTCATCACAACCGTGTCCATGTACATGACTCTCAAGGGGACGGCATAGAAAATAGTTGTAAAGGAGGGAAAATCTGACAGAAATGATGCCACTTTCATGATTCTTGTAATAATAAAAAAAGGCTGTTAATTAGGCTGCTGCAGCAACAAGGAGGGGTGGAAAGACATCTGTATGCAGATCTACAGCAATCATGTCGTCTCTGTGGCAAATAGCGCTGCCATAAAACTGCCATCATATAACATTTCGTTTGGTAATGTGAGAGGGTGCTCTGTGTCTTGTGAACACAGTATATATGTACAGCATATATGTCCCTGTGCGTCTGAAAAAGCTGCAGCTGACAAATTGCATCACATTTCTACGCAGTGAGAACCTTTAAGACTCTTCCCCGGGCTTGTTAGCATGCGGCTTGTTGGGGGGGGGAAGCTGCTAAACAGCCCTTAGCCTACCTGATGGGTCCCTCAACTCTGCATAAGCAATGTTCCCGCTATCACCCACTTCAGCACAAACTCAATCAGCTCCTGATGCTTAACACTAACCCAATCACCCTGCACTAATGCCATGTCACTTTTGCTTAGGATAATAAATGAAAAATGTCCACAACTGACCTGAAGACGCTGACAATCAGCCATGGCAGGCAGCAGCAGGAGGACAGGGGGTGAAAGGGGGAGGTTCATAGGGGATGCAAGGCAATCGGGGGGAAATGAGGTGTAGGTTGTGAGGGTGGGAAGGAGCAGGATGGAAAATGAGAGATGAAACTGTGTGGAAAAAGAGGAAAGGCAGCTATAGGAGGTGGGAGAACAGAGAAGGTTGTTGGGAAACAAGAAGGAGGGGGGGTGAGGAGGATGTGGCATTCATAGAGTAGCCTAACGTTGATTGCAGTTGCTGGGTGTAACACATAAAGGCTCCTGAGTCAGTGAATCCTAATGAGCTCCAAAGATCATCACGCACTGGGACATTATCACCGGTGACAGTGTTATTCCAGCATATTGATCTGTTCTCACAATAAACTGATGGCATTTGAATATGCCGATACGTTGATCTCGGCGAAAGCCAGAATGATTTGCTTTGGTCTCTGCAGAAGCTCCGACCCTGAGGCCACAACACAACATTCCCACCCGTTTACTTTGTTCTCGCTCACAATATTATAAAATGTATGTGTTATGTGCCGTTTACTCTGCAGCGGGGAACACACTGTGCTTTGCTTTCTGCTGACATTTCTCTCTTTGTGCTTTCTCCTTTTGTAGGTTTAGCCCCTACGAGTGGTACAACCCGCATCCATGCAACCCAGACTCGGATGTAGTGGAAAACAATTTTACGCTGCTCAATAGTTTCTGGTTTGGAGTTGGGGCTCTCATGCAGCAAGGTAGTTGCCTCAGCCTGTGGCTGCTGTTGCTCTGTGGAGCTGGAGCTCTTTATATCCCACTGTCTCTGAGGGTTGGCTTGTTTTGTTTGCCGGCGGCAACAGAGAGAGACCGCTGGGGGTCCACTGCTGCGAAGACAGGACTAAGAATAAATGTGCATTTAATGTTTATTTTATTTAATCAATTTAGGAACACATTAAATAGAAGAGAATGTGTATGATGATGATGTGTATGTGAGAGGGATATATTTGAATGCCACTTGAGATAATTTAATATCCTTTGATTTAAGACCCTTAATCAAAGATTACAGTTTGTATATCTATTTTTTCATCAACAGCAGGTTAAATAGCATGTCTACTGAAATGTATTCCATAAATATACAGTCTATTAATATGCTACTTATCATAGTAATGCTAGTAAAACAATACCCAGGGTCATCTCCTCTTGCCCTCGGCACATCAGCACCCAGAGATCAGTGGGGTGTGGAGTCAGGATGTGAGGTTACCTTGGGTACATGACTCTCTGGCCCAAACAGCCTGTCTCTTCTCCACGCTGTTCTGAAACATCCATATAAATGTGTTTGATTTGAAGGGATTGATTTATGCAAACACCTTCTTCTCAGGAGACGTTTTATAGTGTTGTTCCTGCATTATTTAAAGCACTTGCTAGCTACTTGATAATTGTGCTTGTTTGAAATCTAACAATCATCCTGTTCAGAGAGCTCTCACAAGTGATTTATCTTGAAGTGAGTGGTGCGTCTGCCTGAGCTGAAACACTTGAAGAGAGCACTTGAAACAAGTTTGACTGTTTTCAAAGAAACTAATCTTATCTTGTTTTTAACATTTGAAAATAAACACTGCCACCTCCCTCACACCAGGCTCAGAGCTCATGCCCAAGGCGCTGTCGACTCGAATAGTGGGAGGCATCTGGTGGTTCTTCACCCTCATCATCATTTCCTCCTATACGGCCAACCTGGCTGCCTTCCTCACGGTGGAGAGGATGGAGTCGCCCATAGACTCTGCCGATGACCTGGCCAAACAAACTAAGATCCTGTACGGGGTGACGGAAGACGGCGCTACCATGACTTTCTTCAAGGTAGTTCTGAATGTTTACAGGCTGGCTTCATGAGAAATGTTCCTTTCTCCCTAATTCAAATGAATCCTTTAGATTTGAAACACCTGTGGTTACAGCAAGTGTTACTTGTAGTGGTGCACGATAATTATCGGCCCGATAATTATCGGACCGATATTAGGAATCATGACGTCATCCCGATAAACCCGATACAATTATTAATAGCCCCGATAATATACAATATATTTTTTGGGTAAAAAAAAAGAAAAAAATACTGTGGTGTGGGTGGATTGGGATGAGGGGCGCTTGTTTTTCACTCGGCTCCTCCCGTTTTGCCAGTACTGTGGTATAGTGGTTTAGGAAGAGGGGAGTTTTTCACAAATCGAGCGCTCCCTAACTCATGCCTGGCTGTGACGTAAATGGTGTACGGCCGTGAAGCCAGGACAGTAAACAAACATGTCGTGGGTAGTATTGGGACTATTTCAAAGTTTCAGAGTTAGATAGTTCGCTTGCTATTTGTATTAACAAATGCAATGCAGAAGTTCCACGAGGAGGGAAAAAGGCAACGAGCTATAATACTTCCAACCTGATTAGTCACCTGAAACATCGCCATCGCTACGATGGTGTGTTAAAAGCGTACGAAGACGCCTGCGCTGCTAAACTAGCGGCGAATCCAAAGCCAGCTGCAAAGGCACCGGGGCTTTTACCTATCGACGAGGCTTTTGAAA